GGGGGAGAGGAAGATATAACAACCACAATTACTTTTTTATTTTTTATTTTTTTTTGAAGTTCTTACAACAAGCAAATAGAGGGGACACACTTGGGTGGGAGGGGGGAGAGGGAGGAGGGAGGGAGGTTTCGGTGATGGGACATAATAATCAACTACATTGTATATTGACAAAATAAAAATAATAAAAAAAAACATAATATATGATAAGATCTGGGTCAGTAAGACTTTCAAATAATGATAGCAAATTCTAAATGAGTCAAATCACGATAAGTAAATATATGACAAGATCTGGGTCAGTAAGACTTTCAAATAATGATAGCAAATTCTAAATGAGTCAAATCACGAATATATTTTATGACATAGTAACCAAATTTTCTGTATAACAACACCATTAATAGTAGTATTAAATGTTAAATTGTGAAAGATTTCTAATACATAAGACTGGCAAGTACTTAATACCAACTAAGGATAACAAGGATATGCAAATACCTTATAAAAGATAAGGAAGAAATTGGTGGACTCTTTTACTCAAAAATAGCCAAAGAGCAAGAATGTTCTATTCATTAAGTATAAATTGCCAATAAACACTGGGGAAATTATTTTATATCATCAGCAATCAATAAAATGTGAATTAAAATGAACAAAAGAACGAAGAAGCAATATTTGGATCATTATTTTCACAAAGATTCACTATGCTGATAATGCATGTTGACCTTGGTGCCATTAATGCATGTTCTATTCTCCAAGGACAGTGTCTTAATTCCTAGGTGCATTTATTAACTTTTGCTCTGTTTCACTTTTCAATAATATTAATTAGATATATGTTCATTAGTGACTTTGAAGCAGGGTCACCAAGGACATTTGGTTTTTTATGACTTAGTTGATCCTACCTGTTACAGGTGGACCATGTAAAACATCCTCAGTCACATCTGTGGTGAAACTTTTCAGTGACCCATTCTGTATTAAGATTGTTGGGTCAGATCCTTAACTTCTTTCAAGAATCAAAAAAAAAATTTTTTTCTGGTTATTACCTGCTGTTTATTAGTCTTTCTTTCTATTCAGCCATTCAGATTATGCACAAATAGTTCCTTTTAAAATTTAAACTGATATTAGGATTTATGGATAATATCAGACACAGGGATACACAATTTGAGACAGCTTGTGCATGTATTTCCACTGCTACCATTGAGTGCAAGTTGAACAAGAAAGCACAACTAGCTTATATTCATGTCACTACTAATACATTCTTATTTAGTTATGAATTTCTCTAAGGATCTGTGTGGATAAAACAAAAACTAATGCCTGAATGAGAGACTAAAAGAGTAAGTATTTTCATATTTCTCAATTCAGTTATTTTTTGTAAAATTTAATAGAATGAAATATTTTTTTTCAATTTCTAAGCTTAAGTATGTACATATGTGTGTGTTTACATGTGTGTGCATTTTAATTTGAATAGTTCATAAGGATCTGACAAATTAATTTCATTTTTGTAATGTCATTTATTTATTAAGAATATTAATCGTGGAAGCAAATGAAGTCTTCAAACTTGTTTTATGAATTAGTAAAGTATGTGGGCAATAAAATAGTCAAATTCAATGGAAATACAACGTAACACCTATTGCCTACACTGACAACACACGCACACATACACAAACACACACATGCATATCTGCACACATAAATTCAAATATACAAATGTATCTCCCTCCAACTTAATGAAATTTGGTTTGGCATTTCATCTATAAAATATCTTGTGTTTTGTAAACACAAATACTTTTAAGCATATTAAACAGAAATCAGTAAGTGACAGTTGCATTATAATTAATTAATCTGTCAGAGTGCTTCTGAGACCGGATTCTAAAGTAGATAACTACAAGGGTGAAAGGGCTGTTTCGGGTCCTTGAGTAATACTCAAGATCAGCAGGGACTTTTGCTAGAGGTTGCAGGTGGGAATGAAGAGAAGATGACTGCAAAAAGGAAGGAAGATGGGCACAGGGGAGCAATATCCTGTGTTTCTCAGTTTTCCCTCTCGCACATATTTCAAGTATGGATCTTCAGAACAGTAACAGCATTTAGGAAAAAAAAATTGTCCATAAGCCTGTATCACTGTTTGTCCTCTCTGATAGAGTCTAGAAACTAAATGCTTCCTCTTGTTACATAGACTCCATCTGATATCATTTTCCCAAAGAAAGAATGAAGGAGCAGGCTTTGGCTGGAACAAACCGTCTAATAATACATCATCCAGAAGAAATGCTAATTCCAGGCTAAAAGGACTACAGTCCAAGTGTTTGCCCCTTAAACTATTAATAACATCTAAAAGAGCATCCCCACACAATTATGAGACTCTCTAGCAGTAAATACAACACATGAGAAAAGTTATGGTTGGCTAATATCTGTAATTTTTCAAAGACCTAATTTTTATAAGGTCTTAAGCTTACTTTTTATAATTTTTTCATGTGGTCAATATTCGAAAGAATTTAAAGGAAATGTCTTGTGGAGATGTGACAAGTAAAGCTGATGAAATGCCTGCTCTGAGTGATTATATTCTTCCATTCAAAAATGGTACCTAGGTGTGTAGCAAGTTCACTCTATGATGTTCACACATGACACAATCGCCTAAGAAGGCATTTCTCAGAACATATCCCCATCATTAAAGGACTCATGATGGTGCTTTCAATATGAATGCAATACCTTTTATGTGGACCAGAGGAGTAAAGGACTTTTCTCAAGTAGAATCTTAAAATATGAGTAAAGAATAGATCCTGATGTTTGTCAGTAAATACCTATGATGTGTTTATAGATATACTGAGAAACTATTATATTCCAAGAAATGGATTTTATTGAATGTACAGATCAATTAGGGGGAAATCATCTTTTTTACTATATTATGTCTTCTAATTCACAAATAATAGTTTACCACACACACTATTGATTTTTAGATGGTATTTTAACATACAATTTCAATACTTTATTTTCTAAATTAACATACAATAAAATTGACTTTTTGTCTAGCTTGATACATTTTTAAATATTTACAGATTTGAGTAACCAACATAACAACAAGTTTAAATGAAAATAACAAAAATCACCTGCCTTAAGCTTTCTTATTATATACACAAATAACTGTCCTTTACAACCACTGATCTGTTTGTTCTCAGTCATCATAAAATTTTCTTTTTTTCTTTTTGAGACTGTCATGTAACGGAATAAAAATGCATGTTACCCTTTCCCACCTCTGGTGGCCTCAGTTCTGTTCTCTCCTTTTGAAAGTACAACAAATTTTTGTGACTGCTGCATCTTTCTTTCTTTTTTATTTAGTTGTAGGGTTTTTTTAGCTTCCGCTTATGGGTGAGGACATGTGGCATTTCTCTTTCTGTGCCTGGCTTATTTTACTTAACATAATTTTCTGTAAGTTCATCCATGTAGCTGTGAATGACAGAATGTTATTCTTTTTTATGACAGAGTAGTATTTATTGTGTATACATACCACATTTTCCTTATCCAGTCATCCATCAGTGGACATTTATGTTGGTTCCAACTCTTGGCTATTATAAATAGAGCTGCGATAAACATGGGGTTGCATATATCTCTTTGACATGATGTTTTCCATTCCTTTGGGTATGTACCCAACAGTGGAATTGCTGGATTGTATGGCAGTTCTATCTGTAGTTGTTTGAGGAAGCTTCATATTATTTTCCATAAAGGCTGCACTAGTTTAAAGTCCCACCAACAGCATAGGAGGGTTCCCCGTTCTCCACATCCTCAGCAGCATTTGTTATTCTCAGTCTTTTTGGTGATGGCCAGTCTAATTGGGGTGAGATGATATCTCAGTGTGGTTTTGATTTGCATTTCCTTGATAAGTAGTGATGTCGAGCATTTCTTCATGTACCTGTTGGCCATTCGTATATCTTCTGTTGAGAAATGTCTATTCAGCTCCTTTGCCCATTTTTTAATCAGGTTACCTTCTATTTACTGTTAAGTTGTTTGAGTTCCTTGTATATTCTTCGTATAAATCCCTTGCTGGATGCATAGTTTGCAAATATTTTCTTCCACTCTGTTAATTTTTTTCACTCTGTTAATGGTTTCTTTTGCTGTGTAGAAGATTTTTAGTTTGATTCCATCCCATTCCTTTATTTTTTATTTTGTTGCCTGTGCTTTTGAGGTCTTATTCATAAGTCTTTGCCCAGTCCTAATTCCTGAAGTGTTTCCTCTATGTTTTCTTTTACTATATCATTTCTTAAAATTTTGTGTGTCTGTACATGTGCCCAGCCTAGGAATTACAATATACACAGTTAACATTTCATAAGCCACTTATAATAAATATTTGACCATATGAGAAAATGTTGAAACTTTGTTTATTTATGGGATACTTTACTTTTCACTTTTTTTTGTTGTTGTTGGAAACCGCATCAGATGTTTTAATATTTGTTTTCAAAGATCAGTTTTCTGAGGGCACCTGTGTAGATCTGGTAATTTTCTTTTTCTGTTTTTAAATGTTTAGTAATAATCAACAATCAATCTATCCATCCTGAGTTCTCTTTGTAAGATTATTTAAGTATATATTTATTTACTTTAATAAATATAGGGCTATGTAGGTTAAATGTTCTAACTTGAATGAGCTTAGGTAGAATGTACGTTTCAAAGTATTAGCCCAATTCATGTAATGTGCCCAATCTATGTACATAGGTTTCAATATATTTCGTTTAACCTTTTTAATATCTGTGTAATCTGTACTGATGTCATGGCTCTCATTGCTGATGAATCGCATCTTCTCTCTTTTTCCAGATTAATCTCATATTAATTTTATTAATGTTATTCATTTTCTCTAAAAATCAGCTTTGACTCCGTTAACATCTTGTTTTTCTGTTTTCTATTCTATTCATTGTTTTTGCCTAAAATGTCAAATGTGGTTATGAGAAATCACACAGCAATAACAACATTCATCTTGTTGGGACTTACAGATGACCCACAGCTGCAAGTTGTCATTTTTATCTTTCTGTTTCTGACATACTTTCTGAGCATAACTGGAAACCTGACCATTATCATCCTTACCCTGACTGATTCTCATCTTAAAACACCTATGTATTTTTTTCTCCGAAACTTTTCCTTCTTAGAAATCTCATTCACATCAGTCTGTATCCCAAGATTCCTTTACAGTATATCAACCAAGGACAACACCATAACTTACAATGCTTGTGCCAGTCAAATATTTTTTATTGGACTCTTTGGGGCTACAGAGTTTTTTCTCCTGGCTGCCATGTCCTATGACCGCTATGTGGCCATCTGCAAACCCCTTCAGTACATGACCATCATGAGTCACAGAGTCTGCACCACCCTTGTCCTCTGCTGCTGGATCTCTGGGTTGATGATCATCATCATTCCACTCGGTATGGGCCTCCAGCTGGAATTCTGTGACTCCAACGCCATTGATCATTTTGGCTGTGATGCATCTCCTCTTTTTAAGATTTCATGCTCAGATACATGGTTCATAGAACAAGTGGTTATAATCTGTGCAGTACTGACATTCATTATCACACTAATAAGTGTAATTCTTTCTTACATATACATCATCAAAACAATTCTCAGATTTCCCTCTGCTCATCAAAGGAAAAAAGCTTTTTCCACTTGCTCTTCTCACATGATTGTTGTTTCTGTCACCTATGGCAGCTGCATTTTCATCTACATCAAGCCTTCAGCCAAAGAAGAGGTGGCCATCAATAAAGGGGTATCTGTGCTCACTACATCTGTTGCCCCTTTGTTAAATCCCTTTATTTATACCTTAAGGAACAAGCAAGTGAAACAAGGTTTTAATAAAACGATCAAAAAACTTGCTTTTATCTTACACAAGTAAGAACATACTGAATTTGAGCAATTAGATGAAAATGAAAGATGAGTTCCTTAACAATTTCCCTGGCAGTTCTAACTAGTTCAGCCAGGTTAACTTTCTTATGGTCCTGTGAAGCTCGATTTGTGAACCTAGTTAGATGAAACGATTTCTTCCTTTCTTTAATTTCAATCAGAATTGTTTCTGTCATTAAGAGAATATGAGATTGATTTCCAGGAATTAAAATTTTTCTTTATTTCTTGCTTGGGTTTTCTGTTATTATTCAAAAAGAAATCATATAAAATAGCATTTATAGAAATATTCATAAAGTAGTATGGATTGCTCCTAGGAAAATGTTGGAACGATGGTTTTGCAAACTTCTTTAATTTAAACATTCAAATTTACTGAAATATTTGAAATATTAGAAGAAACATTTCATTTGTTTAACATATTAATAAGACAAATTTTGAAATAAGTGAGCTCAAAACAGGCAAAACAAGTAAAATTTTAAAATATTTTAAGCAAAGGAAAAAATAATAAAAATCTAGAAGCAAATATGACAAACAAAAGATATTAACAAGTCAAAATATTTACATTGATTTCAACAAACAGGAAAAAAATACAACAAAGCTGCTTGGCTATACCATGCACACACTCATATATGTATGCACACACACAAACAGAAAAATAAGAAAAAAAATAACGAGAAATTTTTTTCTAGCTTTGTCAGAGTAACAGGTACAAGTTTATGCTTTCTGCCAGAAATAACCATAAAACAGAATAAACTATATGAGATCACTTTTAACAATAAGCAGCTCAAAAGTCTAATTCTCCAGAAAATGGGAATTTAGTTATTAATCTCATAATTAACATTAGCGTGGCCTGCATTGTGAGTTGGAGACTAAGCTCAGCGTGATTATCTTTGTGAGTTAAATTGGCAAAGATTAAGGCAGTTGAAGTTGTTAGTGTCCGCAGTTCAAAACTACATAGAAGAGGGACCTGGGCTAAAGGGGATCTGTATGTGGAAATATCATTTCCTAACTTTCCAATGAGAAACAATATCCAGTGATGGGAGAAATGAATAAAACGTGTTGAAGATCTCTTTGCATTTCCAAGGCTTTCTGTGAATGTGGATTCTTGAAAAAACATGGCAGTGCATAGACAATCTCCACTAAAATCCCTTGTTCAGCTTTTAGTTACTCTAAAATCTGAAGGACATTTGTGGTGAAATTGCCAACAGAAGTCATGAATTGCTATCAGAAAAGTAAGTATGATACTTTTCTCTAAAATTTTAAAATACCTACTTTGAAAACTGTCAGAAAGAAAAAATGTAATGAGGTAACCCCTAGGTTAGAATAGTATCCATTTGGGGGGGGTATTGTGTGCTCTCCTTAGATCCTTGTATAGGAATAAGATGGAAATTTCATTAAGTGTGTTCACAATTACTTCAAAATGATTTTTCAATAATATCTGAGCTGTAAATAACTTACATTCACGAGCAGAGTTAGCTGTACCTATTCATGAACATTGGATTTATTAAGTAGTATGACTAGAAAGGCATCCAGAATTAGACTTCTTCCCACCTATTTATCCTCTGTCAAACAATCCATATTATGAAAGGAGGAAAAAACACGATTAGTTTAAGCCTTTTTCAAAGGTTTTAACATGAAAACAACTCAAGATGATTATAATAAGGCAAGCAAAGAGAAGGTTAGAGATTTATAGGGATCACTGGAGATGGTCAATCTGAGGTCAGTTTTGTTCTGATTATTGTTTGCTGTTCAGATTCCCAGAAAGTATGGGGAAACAGGTTGTGTCAATCATGGGATAGAATGCAGGGGCTGGAAGACTGGATCTGGTTTAGCAGCTGTTGATTAGTCTTATGAGTTTAGTAAGAGGAATGGGCACAACACTTGGGGATAAAGCCTTGCTAGGACTGGTGGAAATTTTTCAGTCCTTTAGCATATACCATAATAGTTAATAGCAATAAAAGGTAACAAATCTAAACTTTTAAAACAACAAATGAGATTTGAATGATAAACAACAAATTGTTCATCAGACAATGACACCTTGAGGGTCAGATTTTCATCTATTTCCTCTTAATCACAAATCTAAACTTTTAAAACAACAAATGAGATTTGAATGATAAACAAATTGTTCATCAGACAATGACACCTTGAGGGTCAGATTTTCATCTATTTCCTCTTAATAATCACAGTAAATCCTTAGGTGTGGAGGAGAATGAGAAAACAATGCACAAGATGAATGGGGGTAAAAATATAGGTGCAATGCATAGATAATTCTATCATACAACACAAGTTGACTTTTTAATCATTCCTTGAGTGGCTCAGCAATAAATTCAAGGGCATCACTACACCCATAAACAGTCTTTTCTATAAATCAACTCCACCCTTTTCTGTGATCATGCCTGTACATCCCAGGTCATGAAAGAATTACTTCATATCTCCATGAAGGAAAAGCTACAGTTCTAACCAGCTATTATCCCATCCCCTGAATGGCAGAGCCCCTGACATTTGGTCTCCTTACCTCTCTAACTGACAAAAAAAAATACAAGACATAAAATACAGCAAGATTTCTGTTTACTTTTAATCTGCTTCTGGGTTAGTATAACAAATGAGACCTAAAATAGATAAACGTGGTAAAGAAGATTAAAAGCATGATGCCCAGTGAGTTCTGTGCTGTCAGATCAAACATGCAAGGTTATGAAAAGGCAAACTCAACCTAAGTCAAAATGTTTTGATGCTTACATGATCTCAACTAAACTAATATTTACTGTTTTGGAGTCAAGATTTCACAAGAAAACAATACAGAAAAGGAGGATTAAAAGAGTTTGTCAAGTATGTATGAAAGATGAAGTGACAGTATTTCTCAGTCAGAACAGAGAGAAAATGTGTGTACATACAGAAGGTTGGCATATAAACATAGCAGAAAGGAGAAGCAACATAGACAGCAGGGCCCTAGGTCAAATTATTTAAAAGGTTAAGTCTGTCTTTGGGACATTCATAGCTATTATTCCACTCATTTTTTTTTCCTTTTTGTCTTTTTTTTTTTCGTGACCGGTAACGGTATCACAACCCTCGGTGTCACGCCCGCACCGCGCTCAACCAGTGAGCGGACCAGTCTCTATATGGGATCCGAACCCTCAGCGGGAGCACCACCACACTTCCAAGTGCCACACTACCGAGTGCACCACCGGGCCGGCCCTTCCACTCATTTTTTAACTGCACTGTGTAATTAATATACCATTAGTTTCCTTCATTAAATCTTATTAAATTTCTTAAATGTGTAAGAGAGCAATATTACTATATTTTTTTAAGAGCATAAATGTAAAGTTTTTTATAAGCTAGAGAACAGATGTCTTAGGTATTATAGTTGGAGGAGGAGGATAGGAAAATGGAATTCCTGAGAAATAGAAAGGTGATTGGCAGGAACACGATGGCATTTTTATCAAGCATAGGTATGACCAATTATGTCATCTTTATAATTATTCTCCTTTTTGTTGTAAATATGATATTTTCTGAAAATTCCACTTACCTACATGAAGAAGGAAAAATAGAACACCTACGTAAGTAATCTCAGAGACCCAAAGTCTAAGTGGTCATAATACAAGGAATGAAAAGAGGAGACTTAATTACAAATCTCTGGCTATTACAAAGAGCCTTGTTGTCATGAACTGAGGAGTGAATGAAAAGATGGGACGGCAGCGTGGAAGTGGAAATTTTAAGGGGTAGACTCAATGGAGCTAAAAAGGAATGGACAGGAAAGTGCATAGATGGTCAGCCTGATGCTTGCCTCAGTTGCACAACCCAAAATAGCAGAAAATTTCAATTTGAGGCAATCTATCTGAAAGTATACAACTTCTGTGATGATATTATCAGCCTGCATGTAACCTTTCTTCCCCTATGTGGAGCAAAAAGTCTACATGTCCAAAAATTCCCAGGATATGTAAGGATGTATCAATAATTTTAGAAATGTTTAGCAATCTAAGAGGAAGGGCTCAAAGCCAAGGAATAACATTTCACTGGAGGATTTATGCTGTTGCCTTTACAACACCCAGAGGAAAATGTTTCCAGTTCTAACAGTGGTTAGAGAAGGCAAATCCTAGATAAGTCTGAAGGTCTAAACTTTGGAAAACACTAATGCCATTTCATAATTTGCATTTCAAAGGTTCAAAAATGTTGAGGATTGGAGAATGGCACTTATAATTGCGATTAGGTTTAAATTCCTAATATTGACCGCAGAGCTGTGAAGGTCACGCTGGTCGAAGGCAGCATCCCCAAGTATCCCCAACACTGTCCATGAGAAGTTAGGTAGAAAGAGTGCTAAAGAATGCCCATTCCATCAGGAAAAAGTGGGGAGCTGAGCCAGAAATACTTTCTTTTTTTCGCAAGTGTACCAATAAAATAAGTTAGTAACATCTCCTAAGAGCAACAAAAGAGTGAAAATTGAAGAAAAAGGTAAAAAAAAAAAAAAGTTTTCTTGTGTTTATTTAATTGAACTCACTTTCCATAGAAAGAAAACAAAACAAAGGAGAAATTTGTCCTTAAAATTCAATTCAATAACTAGATTTATCACACACATCTGCCAATTGAAGCAAAAAGAGGCTAAAATTACCCTGGCAATGCATGTGATTAATTCATAAAGTAAAAATTTGCATGTGCTCTGGTTTGCCTTTATTTTTGTTCTTCATCCATTATCATTGCCATGTGATATTGAGAGAGTCCACTTATCAGTTTCAATTTCTCAAATTTTCCTTGAAGATTGAAGGAAAGTCAAAAGTTAGTAATGATAAACCATACAGCATTCACCATATTCATCCTTTTGGGATTGGTCAATGGTCCATCTCTTTTGACTCAATCACTTTTCTATCTATTTCTCAGGAATTCCATTTTCCTATCCTCCTCCTCCAACTATAATACCTAAGACATCTGTTGTCTAGCTTTTAAAAAACTTTACATTTATGCTCTTAAAAAAAATATAGTAATATTGATATCTTACACATTTAA